GAATACAAAATATTAATATGCAAAACTTCATAGTTATCACACTAATTAATTTCACTTTGAATGGTATATTTTTGTTCTGACCATAATAAAAAAGGGATATACGAACTGACCACACATTTCCTTTAATCCTAAAATTCAATTACAAAAGTTGCATATTTCCCATTCTTAGTGCTACTGCATTTACAGACTATCCTTTGATACATGAAGAGTGGTGTATTTATGTTTGGTATGTGTCTTTTAGGCCCTATGTATTAAGATATTCTTACAAAGTAATCGAGTTATTTCTTTGCAACCATCAATCAGATGCAATCTTTCAGGGAAGGTCAGATACTCACTGGAGGAAGAGGAGAACTCACTGGTGCATAAGGCACTTCATGTTCAGATCATTTGATAAAGCACAATGAGAACTCGTCATGCATAGCAGGATTCTGACTGTATCATGACAGCCAGGAAAGTCAGTCCATGTCATGGTACCAGAAGTGGTAGGTATTAGGAAAGGTTGAGCTTGTGAAACTTGCCTGCAGTAGTTTTGTTAGGCTTAGCAGTACCCTTTAACACAAATGCCGTGTGCCTTTATTTGGAACTTCCTAGGGACTTACTACATACACATGATGAACCTGCATCTTATGGATCAAACATAATAGACGTAGGAAGTAAGAAATAACGATTCTTTTTTCAGCTTTTTCCTTGCTCTCTTTACCTTGCTGTAACCCAACTTCTTTTTTTTTTTTTTGGACAAGCTAGAAATAAAAATGTGGAGGCATTATTACATAATAGGACTATAAAGTGCAGTTTCCTATGGTGACATACAAAAGCACCACCTCCAGCATTACCAGCTAAAGCTGGTCACACACATTGTGGTTTTCTTGTGCTCTCTTTAGGTTTGTCATGTTCACTGTTTCAGCCCAATGCTGGTCATGCACATAGGATTATATAATATCCTTCAGAACATCCAATAACTAGGTAGCATGAGGGCTTATGTGATATAAAATTGAATGATTGTTTAAATCTCATACCCTCATAGTACACAGTTTTTGGCCTGGATGTTTAGGGGTTTTAAATTCTTGAGCATAAAATCCCCAGCAATTTCCTGCACACAGGGAGCCACAGGTGGAACATACAGCTGCCTATACAAGTGAATGACTGTACGCATCCGCACTCCAATAAATGCTGATCGCTTCTGCATTGGTGTTTACGCATGCGTATATAGAATATTTCCCCAACTGCACCAGTGTTCCATTTCTGGAAATATGCTGCACAGGTAAATGTTGATACAGTAGCAATCAGCATTTACAGCAAACGGTGTAGTTCCTCTCTAGGTCATCCTCCCCCTCCTCTACTATGTTTGTCATATAATTTTTTGGGGCTGAGGTGGGGGAGATTGGGTACCCAGCTTTGAAAGGTACCCATTCCCACTCGGATTGCCTAGGCGATCTGAGTGGAAGTCCCCCCCCTGCAGTCTTCTGGGACCCATCACAAGACCCAGAATACTGCGGGACCATTCACAAAGCACAGCCCAGCTATGTGCAGTGAGAAGTCTGCTATGAAACTGAACGCAGTATAGCCGGCTACCCACAGTTAAGATACCGGGACCAAGAACCTAAAGGCTAATGAAGAATTTGTAGCTGTTGACTTTTTTCCAGAGTCAACAAATGCTTTAAGTGAGTGCAGTCATGTACAGCAATTCACTTTTTTTTTGTCTGGCTGTATGTCGATGCCATGAATGACAGTCATCACAGTTGCTTGTGCTCTCAATCTAACTGTCAAGCCATCAAGTAGATGATGTTGTAACTGATCACATTTGCAGTACTATGGAAACTGCAGATCAAATGGAGACTAAGATGTCAGTTTCCTTGTGTGTAAAGGATAGGAGGGTTTAGTTCCACTTTAAGCGTTAAAGTGATTCTTACCCCAGGACCATGCATTGACTATATCTGGTCTCCCACAGTACACAGAACATGGAAATTAAATTATTTTAGTAAATATAAACTGCTAAATACCTTTTTTCTCATCAGCAGTTAGAGTAGTCTTGTGACTTCAGCAGAGCACTGGCTAAAGCTTGTAGGGAGGAGTTTTCTTTCTGCTCTAGGAAGATGTGAAAGTCCTGACCCTCTGTCTGGACAGTGCTGATTGGCCCTGTGCTGATCACATGCACTCTCCCAAGAAAAAAAAAACCTCTAGCAATACACACCAAACTGAGCATGTGCATGTGACTACAGGTTCACCCTGTATCAGGTGGTCATTTCAACAAGAGGAGGGGCAGAGAAGAAAGGATCAAGCGGCCTTTTTACACAATACAGAGGATTAACCCCTTAATTTCCACAGTGAGTATAACAAGCATGCTTTACTGCATACACAGACTGATTTTACTTTTGTGAGTTTAGTAACACTTTAAGCTATATTAAAAGTACATATTTAAAGCTTTATATGTGAACAAATGGCAAACAGACCTTTCAGTGTTAAACAAGCATTATTGTGGAACACATGAAACAATAATTGTGTTTATTTAATTTTATTTACTGAATTCCATATGGAGCTAATCAGTGAATTATCTTTCTAAGATAATAATATCAGTATCTCAGTGGAAAAACAAGAGTGTGTTTAGCACTCCTTAATAAACATTATGCACTAAGGAATGAAATAAAGAACAGTTTACTGAACTGGGCTGCTAATGTTCTAACTAACTGAGATCTACAAGGTCGTAAGTAAAGCAGAAGAAAATCACTGAACCCCTTTAAATTTCAGGCCTATCCCTGAGCCGCACGTACATCCCCAAAGGAATAAAATCTATTCCAGGATTCCAAGGAGATGTAAGTGCAGTTGTTCTCCATTGCAATGATGCTCTGATATAATTGGTCCGGTAATGAATTGTATTATGTAATAGCTGACACGTCCTTCGACAGATGCATGCAGCGAACAAGGTGAAATGGACACCAGCTGTATCTGCCTACATGCCAAATACATCTTTCCTGATCCTCAATCTGTATACAAAACATCGAATTATAATGAAACAACCTGACTTGCAGAATTGGTTTGAATGTAAAGAGAACTGAATCATTAACACGTCCACCAATATCAACAAGTGTGCACACAGCCCAGAAAGCAGTTCAGTAATGGCGGATCTATATGAAATGATTCAAGTGCTTTGACCTCCCCTCAGGACAAGACCAGTACATAGAGGCAGCAGTGGAGGTCAAATGCATAATCTGTTCCATTCCCTGGGCACTGGTAACTCACAGCAAGGCTGGTTATGTGGGTTGGGTCAGTAATGTGTAATTTACATGACTAGGTAACTAGGGAGCCCATTCAAGGTCCAGACATCCACACTAAGGTGTGTCCTTGGACATAAATCCACACTTCTCCATGGAGTCAGGATCAGGATTAACACAAGCAATTGCTGAATATCTTCAACCACATAATCATAGTAGTATTACTCACTTACAGTACATAGAAAATCGAATTATTTTTTAAAAAAACATCCGCTAAATTAAAGTCTGATCACCAACTGTCCAATCAATAAAAGTGTGATCATAACCCATCCTATAAATAAAATTCTGATCATAACATCCTATCAATAGAAGTCTGATCATAAACATTGTATCAAACAAATTCTGATCATTAATCCATCCTATAAATACAAGTCTGACCATAGCCATCCTATCAAAGCCTGATCATAACCATCCTATAAATACAAGTCTGACCATGACCATCCTATAAATAAAAGTCTGATCACAGCTATGCTATTGAAGAAAATCTGATCATAACTATTCTATAAATAAAAGTCTGATCACAGCTATGCTATCAATGAATATCTGATCATAACTATTCTATAAATAAAAGTCTGATCACAGCTATGCTATCAATGAATATCTGATCATAACTATTCTATAAATAAAATTCTAATCACAGCTATGCTATGAATGAAAATCTGATCATTACTATTCTATAAATAAAATTCTGATCATAACCATCCTATAAATAAAAGCCTGATCATAGCTACACTATCGATAAAAATGTGATCATACCATCATATAAATACAATTCTGATCATAGCCATCCTATAAATAAAAGTCTGATCAAAGCTATGCTATCAATGAAAATCTGATCATATCTATTCCATAAATAAAAGTCTGATCATAACCATATTATCAATAAATGTCTGTTCATAACCATTCTATTAGTGAAAATCTGATCATAAGCATCTTGTCAATACAATTCTGATCATAATCATCCTATCAATAAAAGTCTGATCATAACCACTCTATCAATAAAAATCTGATAGCCTTTAAATAATAACTTGGCACCTCCTGGATAGAGATGATATCTGAGAACCATCAGAAAAAAAAGAGAGGAAACTGAGAACGTGGGAACTCATGAAACCAGCTTTTCTATTTAATATTTCCAGTGAAGGTTAAAGAATGCTGATATCTGATTGGCTGCTGGCAGCAGCATCTCTCCTTCCTCTTCCCCAGACTTCATCATTTTCCTAATTCACAAGGACACAAAGTCATCTGATGAACTTGTAAAGCAGTATCTGTCCAGGTGTATTACTGACAATCACCCATCCTCCGGTGCAATAATATTCCCAATATGACAAGGAGTGTCACCTTGGCAGGATCAGGGATGGATGATTAGTACATAGCCATTGTAAAGTTGTGATTCTGGAGCTGAGGATGGCAGGTGATCATTGTGCTACCTCTGGGTATGCTCTGACTTCTCAGGCTGTCCCTGTAAACATGGATCTGAGGAAAGGCCTCAGCCCAGACACATGAAATGTCACCACATCCTGCTTTCAAGGACATTGCAGGAGGCTGCTCCATGGATTCTACATTTTCCTCCCATCCTCCTCCTCCTCACTAATGGAACCCATTGATCTGTCCTGATGAGGACTGTTCTGCTACTATAGATCTGATCAGTCCCTGGGATCCAGGACTCAGTGCCCACAGGCTGGGCTCACATGGCCCTACAAATAAAGGGGCTCCCTCCCCCCTCTCTCTCACCTTTTTGACCTGATCATCTTTGAGCTCAGTGAAGTAATAGGCCAGGAGCTGGGCTGCTATCATTCTGCAGGCTGGCTTCAATCCGAGGTGCCCGGGGAAGGTGCAGGGGGCTGATCTGTAGGGTCAGTGTGGCTGGGCTGTGCAGCGATCCAGCGATGACACACACAGCTCGGCTCCGCTCCCTTACAAGCTGAAAGATGTCACCGATTTTTTTTCCTTTCCTCTCTGGCTGTGACATGTCAGACCAGCCCACTTCCTGGACTCTGATTGGCTGAGGAGGGAGGGCTCGCTTGCTGCATCGAGGAGAACAGCTTAATAGGAGGGGGGCTGAGCGAGGTTTGCCTGTACTGAGGAGGATGGGGGGCAGGGACTGGAGGGATGGGGGAGACCATTACTACAGGGATGGGGGGCAGGGACTGGGGGATGGGGAGACCATTACTACAGGGATGGGGGGCAGGGACTGGGGGGAGACCATTACTACAGGGATGGGGGGCAGGGACTGGAGGGATGGGGGGAGACCATTACTACAGGGATGGGGGGCAGGGACTGGAGGGATGGGGGGAGACCAATACTACAGGGATGGGGGGCAGGGACTGGAGGGATGGGGGGAGACCAGTACTACAGGGATGGGGGGCAGGGACTGGAGGGATGGGGGAAGACAGGTACTAGAGGGATGGGGGGGACAGGTACTAGAGGGATGGGTTGGGGGGCAGGGACTGGAGGGATGGCGGGAGGTGGGGGACAGGTACTAGGGGGATGGGGGGGGGGGACTGGGGGGATGATGGGAGGTGGGGGACAGGTACTAGGGGGGGAGCAGCACTGGAGGGATGGAGGGGGGTCAGGTACTAGAGAGATGGGGGGCATTGTACTAGAAGAATGTGAGGGGGGTCAGGTACTATGGGGGGGGGGGGGGGATTAACGTACTAAAAGGAAAGGATGGCAAGGGATGAGGAATCAGGTACTTGAAGGATGGGAATGGGAGATCAGATACTAGAGGGATGGGGGGGGGGGGGGGGGGGGGACAGGTACTGGAGGATGAGGAATGGGGATCAAGTACTAGAGGGATGGGGGGGGGGATCAGTTACTGGAAGGATGAGGAGTGGTGATCAAGTACTGGAAGGATGGGGGGGATCAGGTACAGAGGGATGGGATTAACATACTAGAAGGAAAGGAGGGCAACGAATGGGGGGGGGGGGGGACGACACGTATTTGAAGGATGGGGAGGGGGGATCAGATACTAGAGGGATTGGGGGGAGGGGGACAGTTACTGGAAGGATGAGGGGGGATCAGGTACTGGAAGGATGAGGAGTGGGGATCAGGTACAGAGGGCTGGGGGGGGGGGGGGTCAGGTACTATGGGGGGATTAACGTACTAGAAGGAAAGGAGGGCAAGGAATGGGGGGGTCAGGTACTTGAAGGATGGGGAATCAGATACTAGAGGTATTGGGGATGGGGGGCAGGTACTGGAAGGATGAGGGGGGAATCAGGTACTAGAGGGATTGGGAGGTATCAGGTACTGGAAGGATGAGGAGTGGGGATCAGGTACAGAGGGCTGGGGATGCAGGTACTGGAAGAATGAGGAGTGAGGATCAGGTACTAGAGGGAGGGGGGATCAGGTACTGGAGGGAGGGGGGATCAGGTACTGGAGGGAGGGGGGATCAGGTACTTAGAGGGAGGGGGGATCAGGTACTAGAGGGAGGGGGGATCAGGTACTGGAGGGCTGGGGGGCAAGGTACTGGAAGGATGGTGGGGATGCAAGTACTGAGGGAGGCAGGGGATCAAGTACTGGAGGGAGGGGAGATCAGGTACTAGAGGAAAGGGGGATCAAGTACTGGAGGGAGGGGGGATCAGGTACTGGAGGGAGGGGGGATCAGGTACTAGAGGGAAGGGGGATCAAGTACTGGAGGGAGGGGGGATCAGGTACTAGAGGGAAGGAGGATCAGGTTCTAGGAGGGAGGGGGGATCAGGTACAGAGGGCTGGGGGCAGGTACTGGAAGGATGAGGAGTGGGGATCAGGTACTAGAGGGAGGGAGGATCAAGTACTGGAGGGAGGGGGGATCAGGTTCTAGAGGGAGGGGGGATCAGATACAGAGGGCTGGGGGCAGGTACTGGAAGGATGAGGAGTGGGGATCAGGTACTAGAGGGAGGGAGGACCAAGTACTGGAGGGAGGGGGGATCAGGTACTGGAGGAGGGGGGGATCAGGTACTGGAGGGAGGGGGGGGATCAGGTAATGGAGGGAGGGGGGGATCAGGTACTGGAGGGAGGGGGGATCAGGTACTGCGGGAATGGGGAGGGGGTTATCGAGTACGGGGGGATCAGGTACTAGTGGGAAGGGGAGGGGGATGTAAGATAGTGGTGCCGACCGATCAAGCAGATTAGGTACTGTGAATGGGGGGGGGGGGGCAGGTACTAGAGGGATGGGGAGAGGGTGTCAGCTCCTGGAGGGGGGTGGAAGGTATTGGTGCGTGTAGTGGGGGAGGGGTGTGTAGATCTGGTGGAGGAGGGAAGGGTCTGTACACAGACATGGGACGATACATCTTGTGTAGAGGGGAAGGGGGAGGTCCATGCCAGGCAGTGAGTGTATGATGGGATCACGTCTATCACGTAGCAGGGATGCCCGGTGCGGACACTTCTCCATCACTTCCTGTCTGGAGGAATGCCCTCATCCTGCCCCGGTCCCCCCTCCATGGACTGCTGGTGACAGGTGGTGCCTGGAAGGGGTGCGCAGTGTGATGACATGGAGGATGGAAGCCAAGTGATGATTGCCTTGTGATGACACAGCCCCCCCCCATATGTCAGATCACCAGCCATTGGGTAGGGTCAGGCTGGGCTGGAGGGACAGGGATCGGCTCGTTTTATGGCGCTATGAATGGCACACATTGCTGGTAGTATGGCATCTATAGGTGTGGATTGTAGATATAGACTGATATTGTCGCCATCAGAGATCACTGCATGATGTGTATGGACAGGGGACTTCCCGCTATAGAAATCATCACAGAACACAATTGTACTAAATATGTCTCAATAAAATGGGGGAATTTCTTCAAACTTTTTCAAAAAATTTTTTTAATAGGTTATGGATGTAAGGCTTCTGCCAATCAGTGGATTGGGGTGACAACTGTATGGATGGTCAGCTTTACAGGACACAAGGACTAGTACCCTGGTGTAGTCCATGTAGTCCTCCTTGCTCTCCTGTCACCCAGAGGGATAATGATAGGAATAGTTCTGCTGGTGACACCTGATGAGAAATTGTTCCTGTGACCTCCACACTGACACCATCCACCAATCATGAGCTCTGTGAGGAATTTTAACACTGCAGTTTTCATTTTTTTTGTTGTGATTCTTTTATATAGCCATGTATTGTATAAGCCAGGTCAAATGTAGATGTAATAAAAATGTAACCATAACCAGGCACTGGAGGTTGTCATTTACTTGAAGTGGAACTGAAGACATTTTACAAAAGCTGTGATCAGGGAGGATATCATACAACAGACATGCAAAGTCTCTTCTGCAAAAATAAATAAAAAATACACCTACCTACCTGCCTGCTCACAGTCTTCTATGGAAAGTACACCAGGCTGTGCATGCGCAGCTCAGCTTAAAGTGGAGTTCCAGTGAAAAAGTAAAAACAAAAGTCAGCCGCTACAAAAGCTGTAGCGGCTGACTTTTAAAAAATGAACACTCACCTGTCCCTCGATCCTGCGGTGTTCCCAGCCCCCCTCTAAGCCCATTTCACCATCCGCCCTGTGTTCCCAGCATCTGCAGTGTGGGCACCCGGCTGTGACAGCTTGCGGCTTCACAGTCGGGAGCCCACTGCGCATGCACATACGAGTCCTCTAGGACCTGTCACATGCCCCAGAAGACTACAAGGGGGAGGACAACCTCCACTTCAGATCGCCTAGGTGATCGCAGCTGAAGTGGGAGCATGTATCTGTCAATTTCAGGTACCCACTTCCCTCTGCTTCCCAAAGATGCCACTCCTTAACAGGGAGCAGGGGACCAATCCTTTAAGTGGAACTTCCCCTTTTGGGTGGAGCTCCGCTTTAAATCCCCACCACTGTCCCTGTGTGTCAGGATGACTGACTCCTGCATATGCACAGAAGTTACATCATCCCTCGCCAGCTAATGAGAATGCCAGCATTGGCGAGGATCCCCTCGTGGACTTCAGACCATTAGAGAGGAGGTAAGTATAATGCCTTTAGTTTTGCTTTAAAGGATCAGTTCACCTTTGGCAACATGTTACATGTTCCACTTGTCTTTAAAAGCGTGCTCCGTTGGATGTCAGAACAGAGCAGCTAGCACAATACCATAATAAACATCACAAAACAATAGTGCAGCACGATCTCTGCACTTCACTGTTGTTTTGCAGTATATCTGCTTACTTGTACATCCCATACGGGCAAGCAGATATACTGACAGATCTGCAGGAGACCTGCATGGCACCAGTTGTCTACTGATCACTAGTGCAATGCTTTAAAGGCTCCTACAGCAAAAAATAATAATGCATATTTTTTTATCTGCCAAAAAATCTGCATTTATTATTTTTGATCAAAAGGTGAACTTATCCTTTAAGCAGAACTAAACCCATCGATTTAACAATTTCCCAAAATGGTTACATTCAAGGCATGCCTTAAATATTAGCTGTCACAGTTGCTTGTGCTCTCAAACAAATTGTCAAGCTTTCCAATAGCTGGTGTCATAACTAACTGCATGTGCAGCACCATGGCAACTGTAGATCAAAGAGAGGAGGGAAGATGGCAGCTTCCTTGGCTGTAAAGGGTAGGGTGGTTTTATTTTATTTATTTCAGGTACTTATATAGTGCTGTCAATTTATGCAGCGCTTTACATATATATTGTACATTCACATCAGTCCCTAACCCTCAAGGGGTGTACAATCTAAGGTCCCTAACTCACATTCATACATACACATACTAGGGACAATTTAGACAGGATGTAAGTCACCTACCAGCATTTCTTTGGAGTGTGGGAGGAAACCAGAGTCCCCAGAGGAAACCCACATAGGCACGCACAGGGAGAACATGCAAACTCCAGGCAGGTGGTGC